TTACTAGTAAAAATTGATTTAGAGAGCTCTCTAATTGGAATTCTTACTAGTAAAAATTCGGAGGTAGAGCTCTGTAATTATAAATGAATGGAAGTCAATGGAGACATGACTAGTAAAAATTGATTTGTAGAGCTCTTTAATTGGAATTGTTACTAGTAAGAATTGAATTAGAGAGCTCTGTAATTGGAATTCTTACTAGTAATAACTGAATTAGAGAGCTCTCTAATTATAATTGTTACTAGTAAGAATTGATTTAGAGAGCTCTCTAATTGGCATTGTTACTAGTAAGAATTTAATTGTAGAGCTCTCTAATTGAATTGTTACTAGTAAAAATGCAATTACGACGAGTAACGCTGGGGATATTTTAAGCTAAAACGGCTTGCCATACAACTAGTTCCCAGTGTTTTTCTGCCACCACAATGTGTGCGCAGCTGCAAGTGACGTAACTGTGACGTCTACCCCAAACTGATCCATTACTCACAGAAACGGCATCATCGTCAAAGGCCCGTATGAAGCTCAGCATCTGATTGGTCGGAGAGCGGATGTAGTCTGTTCTTCCTCCCCGGAACATCCTCAGAGAGGCGATGTCACAGGCAGCGCACACTTCACTGTGAACTCTAGCAGAGAACAGGAGCCAAACGCACACTTTACTTATTCACTTTTATCATCTGTCGTTTCTGGATGATGCCAGAGCGTTTTCTACAAGCCTCACCGGTAGTAGGCCAGCTGAATCGCCACCTGGATGAAGGAGTTTGGACTCAGCTTGAGCTGTTTGACTAAATCTTTTCCAAAGCGCTGGAAGTTAAAACATTTGATGTCCAAATCGTTGATGAGACTAAGGGGAGAATTTAGTTAAAAAAAAACTAATTAGCATATTATTATCAGCATTCAGTTCTTGGTTTCCTCCACTTCTTAATAAATGTAAGAGACAAAGTCATTCTCAAATTTGCAAAGAAGATTCAATACTCAGTCCATTATGGTAAGCCTGGGTTGTAGTCGTACTTCACCAACCAGAGCAGGGGGCAGTGTTTGCTGACCAGTTAAATTCAGTGCCCACTACCTCAACAACTGCCAGTCTGGAAGGCTTTCGCACATTATAGCCTCAAACGCATCCATGCCTCGAAATACTGCTGGTGCCAACATTCTTTCAACTGCAAATATTTACACATACAGACTTATGTTTGACTTGGCTTTGGCTTTTATTATTCAAACATAGCTGACGGATGTAGAACTCTTCCCACATGAAAAAATTATAGCAAATACTAAGTGTTTAAAATACATATTATAGTAAAGTGTATTATACTGTATATATTATAGTATTTATAACACTTTAGTTAATGAATGCTACAGCATACTGTATAGTGAACTGATAAACTGTAATAAATACTGTAGTATTCTTTAGTTTTTACTACAGTAAACTGTATTGTATTGTAGTATAATATACCCTATAGTTGCAGAAAACTTAGTACAGTAGAGGGCTGTCAAAATGACTGAAAAACTAAATTCTGAATTTTCCACTTAAATATTATCAAAATTCGAATTATATTCGAATTTAAAAGGCATAATTTCAGTTAGGGGGAAAAAAGCTTTTGACTTCTCTGGCTGCCTGACGGCTGACGCAGACCTAAAATGCAAACAAAAACCTTGCATTCGAATATGGATTTTTCTATTTTTATTTCGACGAATATTCGAAATTCGAATTTTTTTTTGACAGCCCTAAGTATTGGGTAAAGTAATTTGTTTATATTACTATAGTTATTATATTACCACAGCAGCAACTAAAGAATTACCACAACAAATTAATCAAGTACTTTACTATAGCATGGCTCAAAAACACTATAGTATTTACTATAAATTACTATAGTATTTTTTCATGTGGGTTAATAGCAAACTAATGTGTGTGCGCCATGAAACAGACCAAACATAGGCTACATCTGTGTTGTACTTAAATTATGCTATTTAATATCGGTTTTCTCTATTAACTGCATTGGGATACCAGAAAAAGCAGATGTCTTCTGACGGGATCTGGTAAAGAGACTGGATCCAACGTTTTTGGTTTTTCTGACACGTTGGAAGAACCTAACACAGTGCTGTGTGTTTTTCAAACATGAACTGTTAACTTGATGCGAGTGCCATAATGTCCAGAAACATCCGTCTAACGCAGATGTACAAGGAGCAAAAACATTATACTAGCACATATTGAAAACAGAGAAGATGCAGAAAGTGTAAATGGGACTAGACAAGGAGGACCTCGCGCTCATGGGGCCGTACTGGCAAGTCTCACAAACTAGATGAAGTAAAGTTGGCAACACTGCTGTAAACTGTAAATGCAACAGAATAGCCCTGCGATAGCAATATGAGTGGTACCACAATACTACTAGGAGACGTTAAGTACTGTATTGTGATAATCCTATTATAACTTTAGTAAATTTAGACTGGCAGCTACTGGTCCAAGCTCCTGTGAGCTCAAGACTGGACTACTGCAATGCTACATTTGGCCAACCCCCCAGCTAGCACAGCTAAGCCTCTGCAGCTAAACCAGATTGCAGTGGTGTGTCTGACCTCAAAACCAACCAAAAGAGCCCAAAACAGTGACAGTGGCATTTGAACTCACATATCCAGGTTCTGCTTGGCCATCTCTAGATCCCATTTGATCTCAGAATTTATGTAGAAGTAGAGTTTCTTGGGCATGGGCAGAGGAATCAAAGGAGCTCGCATTCGGTCCGGTTTCTTACTAACAGAGAAAAACATGGCCAATCACTGTTACCACACTAAACTCTTTTTAGGCCAGCATCTCACTAGCCGAGAGTCTGTGCATGTGCACCTCTCCTCAAAACCTCCAACAGACAAGGATTAATCAAAAACATTGTAGGAGCGACACCATTAAACAAAACAATTTGGCTAGTGAGATGCTGCCAGATAAAACAATGCGGAGATTAGAAATGCACAGAAGAGTTTGCCTTAAGGCATGATTATTAGGTTTGTAAATACCAGTAATCTAGTACATGATCCAACAACGTGGCTATAGGTGGACCTTCAGCTGTTGCATGTTCATACAAGAGACCCCAAGACCCATCCTCACCAACAACAAACTGAACACAGAACAGAGGGGCAAATAATTAAGTAAAAAACAAATAAACAGATACAGGGGGAAAAACAAATAGGTTAACAATGGAAATGAAGAAAAGCTGAAACTGATTAAAGTACTTAAACGAAATTAATCATGGTTTACTCATTACTGAATTCAGTTCCAAGCAAACAAAAAAATAAGCTCATGTCTGAATATTAGGTTCGGCAATTTGTGTGGATTACACTCACAGCATAAATTACTGCAACAGCAATCTTTACTTGATACAAAATTGTGGAAATGGAAATACAATATAATAATAACAACAACAACAACAATACACAGGGGTTAAAGCAAAAAAAATCCTGAGCCTGGACTTTTTTCCGGGAGTTGGGGGTTGCGGGGGCAGACACATACACAGGGTTATTTGGCAAACAAAAAAAGAAACTAACTAGTAACGTATCTGCCATTGCCATTAGCCCTTGACAGGCTCAGACTACAGATTATGGTGGGATATTTGAAACAGCAATACCAAGAAAGTTTACTCACTACAACACATGTAACATTTAGGATGCTTTTGATATCAAGTTTTGCTGGTTAGCTTTGTCCTTGACATGTCCAAGATGACCTACAATCTAAACTATGAAATTTCTGAAATTGTTTTGTTCAAAAGAAATAATGGTAAATTAAATACTAGGAAATTAATATAAAATAGGAAATATACAAAGACAGTTTACTACAGAAAACTACAGTTCAGTTCAATTAACAACAACAAAAACATTAAAATGGTCCAAGAACTGGTAACTTAAACAGGGTTCGTACAGATAGTGCAAAATAAAATTCCAGGACTTTCAAGGACTTGCACTACTTTTTCGGTTTTCAAGGACTAAAATCAGATCTCACTAAACAATCAATGTTCTTATTATCTTTCAAATTCTAATAAATAAACTAATGAAACAAAATAGTACAAATAAAGTGCAGCACATGCAAAGAATGCAATGGCTGTGGCAAATTTAACATTTGAAAGGATACTATGGCAAAGTTATCGCTTTCCTTATTCAAACTGATTTTTTTTCATGAATATATGATTGACCTGAAGAATGAAAGCTATATCATACACTTGGAAAATTATGAGCTTTATCCCGCTCATAGACACTAGGGGTGTGACAATACACTTAGCTCACAAGGTGAGACAAAATACAGATACTTGGTTCACTAGAAAGAGACAATGCTTTAATACTTTTAAGAAATTTTCAAATGACAAAATATTTGTCTTTTAATCACAAAAAGTAAAACAATGCAGTTGTATTTTGAAATGTTTTAACTAATTTAGTGCTTAACTAATAATTATTTTGCTAATCAAGTAATCTACTGATTATTTTGACAAGTGAGTAATCTGATATTTTTAGTAATACAAATAGAACTAAGTGGAAAAACAGGCTTTAATATGACTATATTTATATATAACGTAACGATGAGGCAATAATAATTGGCCTCAAATAAAGTATCAAAACCAAGTAGGCTACATGGTTTTATTGAACATTGTTGAATACATAATGTAATATGCCTATATTATAATAAATACCTGCAGAGGGCAGGATGTTTCATGTATTTCAACAAGGTTTAAATCCATCGCAATGTATAAGTCGCATATTTAGAAATATGTTGATGTATTCTCCTGTGTTGGCATAGGTTTAAATGATTTACGTTACAAATCAAGTGAGTTTTCCCAGATGAACGTTAAGCAACCCAAACTCACCGCATATGCAGAGGAAGAGTTTAGCCCCTTTCACACATACAGTCTTTACTGGTAAATTACCGTTAAGGGATCATGTGTGAACAGTACTTTTTCAAAAATACAGATAAATGCATTCTGGCAATCATATCGTTCTTATGGAGATGACATGATTACTCTGAGCTGTTTACAAAGCTCCACTGCTTTTTAGTAGCTTTTCTATTTAAATATGACACTAGATGGAAATCTTTGAACATTGCGCTTCGCAGCTTTTTCAATGTGTCGCCCTGAACTTTAAGAACTTTGAGAACTTTAAGCCCTGAATACATAATAACAATATTTTGTTCTATGTATTTATTTTTCAATGTCTACTGTTTATACTTAGTTTAAGACACTTCAATTTACTAAAACTTTACAACAGACACCAATGCTACATGCTGTTATGATCTTAAATCCTGAACAACTGGAGCACCTAGATGAACTTCAACATCTGTCCTGGTCAGACAAATCACCTGAATATGATCGAACACTGTGAGTATTTTAATGGAGAGAACGGTGAGAAGCAGACTCCCACCATCAACATCTATATCTTAACCAACAGGCAGATTAATCTATTTTAAGAAGGCTGGAAGCTGTGGTAAAACACCTTAATCAAATATTGCCTATTTTGCAGGTGTTCACGTTATTCTGTTGATCTTACATGTATGAAGATGCAGTCCTCCACTGGTCTTTAACATTAACTCTATGAATGACAGTTTTACACATGTTGAGTAATTATATTCCCCATACACAAATTACTTTGTTAACTGTGCCATCAGGGTTTGCTTTATAAATAAATTACCTGAAAAAAGGGTCATTCACCATCCTTAATTATTAACGAGAGCCGGTCCTAGTTTAAATGCCAGAGCATTCAGACCAGGCCTTGGCCATGCAGCTCACCTGTAGCGTCTTGTCAAACCAGCGATTGCCACTGTTTGAGAAAGTCCCACCGCCGTGCAAAATCTGTGCTGCCATTCGACTAGAATACCTGCCAACAACCAACATCCTTAGCACCGCATCAAACCATCACCGGTACAGATTAGATGAAAATACACTGCTTAGCTCTAGTGACTGTCAGTATCATCCACAATCAATCAATCACAATGTATAAACAACTCTTACTTCTCATCGGAAATCCTCATAACCGGAGAGTCCAAGCACAACGTAAAGATCGATTTCTCTATCAGCCTCACAGATTCTTTATTGATTTTATCTGAAGAGGGAAAAAAATAAACAAACAAAAAGTTTAAATCAAGCATAAAACTCGAGACAGTGGAACTATGCAGCTAGATGGTAAAGAGTGACTGGTCTCAAAATCCACAATGAGTGAAGCCAGAGACTGGCCTCGTATATAACAACTCTGCTGTGCATCACTCTTGCTAATGGATCTTTCCTGGTGTTGTGTTTAACAGTAGTGGAGTGTGCAGGTCAGGTTTACCTCTGAGCAAGCGCGTGTAAGCCTGACCCCAGGTGTGACGATGCTCACTGGTCAAAATCCCCATCGGTTGCTTATCTGTTTTCCACGACTGAGAGCGGATCCGCAACAGCTGAGCATGGATCTGACTTTCTGTCAATGGTGTTCCATCACTGTTGTACACATCCAGCTGGAAAAACTACACACAACCACTGAATAATCACTAAGATATACATGTTTGTTTGTTTTAAAGAAACTGTATACTCGTAGAACTATAATGTGTATATAACCTGATTTATTACAAGAACCATAGGCGCCGAATTGTTTCTGCCCAACCTCCCCGGAGGAAATTAACAAATATCCCGCTCATTGTTACGACTTTAAGCCTACTTCCACATAAGAATCCATGCGACTGCCTAAATATGAGCTACTGATAATAAAAAAAACTGCTCAAACAGTTTTATCCAGGCTCATTTCCAGAATCAAATACTGAGTGTGTTTCGGAAATTAGTGAGTGTGCTCTAGCCCCAATGCACATACATTTTCACGCATATTTTTTGTCCCGTCCATTGCTCTTTCGAGTGTGAATCCCGCATAAATATGCAGATGTCGTTCCCAAAACTTTGCAGTGTGTATGTACGCGAAAAACATTTAATGTGCACGAAAATGCGTTCAAGATAGATATGTCTGTGACTGGCGACATCACTGAATGCTGCAAAAAGCCATCTTTATATATATTGCTACGTGTATTGTGTTAGGCTAACAGAGACCTGTCATAGCACTTGCATATCATTGCTCTTTTGTGGGTTTTGATTGCTTCTATTGTAAACAATTGTAAGTCGCTTTGGATAAAAGCATCTGCTAAATGACTAAATGTAAAATGTAAATATAAAAATATGTAAATAGAGATCTTTTGACGCTCTTCAGAGCGCAAACACATATGCACTGGATAGTTTACCAGATCTGTTTCGCTATTATGATTTTTTGCTGAGTTGTAGAATCATGACTTTATCTATTTTGATCATATCATCTTACTAGGTAATCTAGGTTACCTGGTAGTTCCTGACCACTGTAATGTGAGCTGGGCCACGGCGTGGACGTCCATAGTGAATCACATGGTCATGTTTGGGTCCTGGGATTCGACAGGAGGAGAACAACTGAGGAAACAATTCCATACATAACGGTTGTCCGCGCATGTACTCTACCCCCAGCCTTCCACTGGATGAGCAAGAGAGGACATGTGGACAGAAATCAAGGGGAAAAAAAGAGATAGGGAGTCACGCTGAGCTACAGACAGCAACAGTATGATATATTTAGAAATAATATCACGATATTAAGATCCAGTGTTTGGCACTGCTCGACTGAAACACAAATTAGCACAGGTACTCGGACATAAATAGGTAAATCTGCCACTGTGTGTCAATATCGTCCAGACCTGTCCACCTGAGCTTTGAAGTCCAGCAATCCTGCAATTAGCTTCGATGCAAACCTGCACAAGAAACAATGTAGACATATAGACATTATGCACATGTAGATTAAACAAGCAGATAAAAGAGCATATCCGATAAAACAGCTTGTTTAATGCTTTGATTTTACTGTGCAATCAATTATCTGAACCAACCGAAGGGAAAGTTAAGATCACTGAAGATGACATTTAAGTCTGTAAGGGTGTTTGTTTGTTTGAGTGTGTGTTGATTCTGGCTGTCACATACACTAGTTGGCCTCTCCAGTCAGTGAAGTCACGTTTGGGCAAAGAGATGGCAGGGTTCGAATGCACTGCCAAGGGCTGCCTGCACTCCAGGTATGCCCACTGCACCCACCAATCTGAAATCTGCAAAAAGTCAAGACACACACACACACTCACAAAATACTCCAGATCAAGCTAAACACACCAGCCTGCTAGTGTGCCTAAAATAAACATGCACAATCAGCGTGAAAACTGCTGCACACAACTATGATGCCAAAAACGAGGCGGTTCATTAGGTTTTGAGAGACAAACATTCTTTTACAAATACTACTCTTCTTATAATTCCATCATCCTTGCATCCTCCTAAAACGGAGAAGGTAAGACGATGAGGATGCACAGTTTAAAGGGGTCATGACACAGATTTTTTTATTATTTTAATATGTTCCTTGAGGTTTACTCATAATGTCAATAAAGTTCTTTTACACACACAAAAAATAAAAAAATAAAAAATATGTGGAAAAATGATTATGTTCAACCCTCATTCTGAACCTCTCTCTAAAAGGAGCTGTTTTAAGGGGGCAGGCCCTTTAAGGCTTGTCATGAATCAGCCACTATGATTGGCTAACAGGAAACCGTATCAATGCCCCCTCGCTACTGCATGCGTGTTTTGAGCATTATGAAATCACACATTTACTTACGGTTTGTGATGCAGCTGCAGTCAGATCTAGTATCTATTGATGGCTTAGGACTTTTTTTATAACCATCTTAATACTTATCTTAATACTTCTTTGTAAATTATTATTTGAAGTAAACCATGGTTAATTTGCTGTTACCACCATGGCTACAAGAACGATGATTTTTGATCTTATTCGTTTTAAAACCATGGCTAGTTTTCGTAATGGAACATGGAAACTCAGAGATAATATTAGATGCGTTGGTGGTGGTGAAATTATTTCCGACATTAAAACACGTTATTAACGTCAACAGCCCAAAATGTTTTTTAGCTGTTTTTTTTTTCTCTCTCTCTCGGCTACGTATTGCTGATTTCTTTTCACGGGCATAGTTGTACATCAATTATCATTTGCATTCAGCCGCAAACACGAGGTGCGAGCGGTCGCAGGTGCGGGAATGGCGCGTCACGGGTTTTTTTTTTTTTTTAGCAACAGTCTGAGATGGTGCGGTGCCCCCCTGGCAGTTGCTGCCCTACGCAAACTGCGTATAGGGAGCGGCGGTACTGCGCACACGTGCTTGTCCTGAGTATTACAAAATGCACCCACTATTTTTAAATCCGAGATCTGGGCACATTTAGGAAAAAAACTAACTTAGTGTGTGTACTAGAGAGAATCGCGGCGAGCTTCATTGCACAGAATATGCGCTGAGAGACACGTGTGCATTGCTTGACAGTGCTTCCACCTGCCGTTATTTCAGTTTTACTTTAGACATGCTCTCATCTCTGCCGTTTGAAATGCAGTATGTACTCGAGTCCTGACAGACTTTCACAGCGCTTTGTGTTTGTTTGTCCTGAAGCTCGATCGTGGCTGTGGTTAAAAACACTTGCATCTCCGAATACTTCTGTGATACAAAATCGATGTAAACACAGTCAGTTATATGTTTTCAGAACAGTTCAAACATCTGATATGTGGAAATAGATCTGTGCATTAGTGTGAATGCAGCCTATTAAAGCTGCCACTGTCTATGATGGCACCAGTAATAATCAAACAGGAAAAAAGAAAAACCCATAACTATGTTTGTCTGTAAACTTTCGGACACTTAAAAGCACTCTCAGATACTGAAAGTACTTTTTGTTTATCACTTGTAATTGCCTTTCTCCCTTTATTACTTTATATTTACTTGTAAGTTTTGAAGCTATATTTAATTGGTTTAATTCTTAACAATTGTTTTGATTTATTATTAATCTGCCTTTTTTTTAATTAGCCTGGTTATTTAATTTAATAAAAATAACGAAATATATTTGATATAATTGTAATGCACCGGGATATCAAATTGAATGGAATCGTTGACATGGTAATCGAAATCGAATTGAATCATGAAACCAGTGACGATTCACACCCCTAAATGTTTTGTTTATAATGAGAAGGAGGTTTTAAGCTATGAAACTTGCAGGATGTTTTAATGGTACAAAGACCTCTTATATGCCAAAAGATCAAGGCAAATTTGATTTCTCATGTCATGGCCCCTTTAAGAACTGAAAGGCACCCATTAGCCCCATTAGGCCTATTATGGCATGTCTAATTTAAACAAAAAAGTACCACAGTACTAAAGTCTAGACAAATAAATCATGATATTGACATTTTATAGTGTTAGTGCTGTTCTCACCCAGTTGTGCGAGTGCTCTGCTCTCTTAATCAGCTCTCTTTGCAGGTTTTCGCCCAGACCTCCAGGGCAGCCGAACTTCTGCACGATCCCGCGGGTGTGCTCCAGCTCCTCCGGCGGCAGGAGCGGCTCCAGGGCCGTCAGGTAGCGCTGCAGCGTCTGGAGGAGCGGAGGCACCGGCTGCGGCCGAACCGAGGAGGAGTGGGCCTGCCTCAGCGCGGCCTGGACGGACAAAGTGAGGAACTCAGCTTCTCACTTAAAATACACTTCAAAGTCACTTCCCTCATATCCTTATGCAAGGCCCCTCAACTCAAAGACAGAAGTTTGCATCTGTATGTTAATATATAAATGCTTTATATTTTACACGTTTTTTCTAATAATCATCCCTTTTAAATGTGAATATGTGCTTAACACCCATGAAAGCACGCGTACAATATGTGCACCATACTACACAACACTTACCTTGAGCATGAATAAAGAGCATATTCTCGGAGGTATTCTCTCTAAAATCATTGTTCTATGTCTGTTTGTTGCTCACGGTGAAGTAGCACACTAGTAGGCTACTTAAGCTTGCGCAAACATGAACGTCACGGAGACTCTGAATCTTCATCAATGATATTACGGTAAGATAACGCGTTATTCTAAAGGCACAGAACAAGACGGCAGTAAACTATTGTGAGTTGAAGTGTTCAGTCTGTTAGTCGTCAAAGTTCGGCTGAAGTTCGTGAGCTCCAGCACGCACTTCGGGTGTGGACGCTGAAACACGTGTGCAGTGTTTAGTGTGGACTGCCGTGTTACTTCGTGTATGTGCGCATAAACAATTAGACGAGGACTAGAAATCTATTCAGAGCCTGAAGAGAAGTGCCTCCGAGGTTAACAAAACTGTCATACAGCAGTACACTGGCAAAGAGACAATATGCCATTTTTAAAGAGATAGTTGACTCATCGATCGTTAATCATAATTGATCAAACTTGCAGGGCTGTGGCAAGCATGCAAGGCCCCCCTCTGTCAGTTTGCTTCTGCAGAGTATTCCAGACATATGACCCCATCAGGACACTTTTTTTTATTCATCTTATAGTGTATTAAAGTAAAATGAAAGGTGATAAGGGAACTTGCTTTCCTGTCAATTCAAAATGAGCATTGAATGACCTGAAATACCCTATAAATGTGACCCTGGACCACAAAACCAGTCATAAGGGTCTTTTTTTTTATGAAGATTTATACATAATCTGAAAGCTGAATAAATGAGTTTTCCATTGATGTATTGTTTTGTTGGCCGAAATACAACTTAAAATCTGGAATCTGAGGGTGCAAAAAAATAATCCAAATATTGAGAAAAGTTGTCTTTAAAGTTGTCTAAATGAAGTTCTTAGCAATGCATATTACTAATCAAAAATTAAGTTTTGATATATTTAGGAAAGGATATTTAATGAATGTAGGAAATGTACAAAATATCTTCATGGAACATAATCTTTACTTAATACCCTAATGATTTTTGGCATAAAAGAAAAATGGATAATTTTGACCCATACGCTGTATTGTTGGCTATTGCTACAAATATACATGTGCTATGACTGCTTTTGTGCTCCAGGGTCACATATGTTCCCAAAGCCCTGTGTTTCCCATGATTTTTATGGCGAATAATGAACAAATGATAAAGGGTCCTGGGTTCCCACATTTAGGGTTTTGGGTTAGGGATGGGCTAACATTGGAAAACAGGGCTAAAGAAATGTCACCTAAATAAATAAATAAAATTTGCTGTTAGTTTAATTACCCTCAAGCCATTGAAGATACAGGTGACTTTCCTCAGCAGAACACTAAAGATTATTTATGGTCCTTGGTGATTCATAATATGCAAGTCAATGGACAGTCACATTGAGAGTCAAAAAAAAAAAATTGGCCAGATACAAAAATACTCCTGACAACATACTGAGGTCTTGTAAAGCTAAATGACCTGTCTGTGTAAGAACCTGAAAACTACATTAATACCAGAAAAGAGATACAGACTCCCCTCTGAGCAAATGCAAAAGATTTTTTTCTTAATTATCATACAATTCATGGAAAGATGGCAAAATTTAAATTAAATATATGTTGTTATTGATATATTTACATTGAAGATATACTTAATACAAGATAAATATGTCATTAATACCTGTAAAATAAGTAAATTAGCCCATTTTGTTTAAATGAAGGTTTTGAGTATGCCCTCGATTAAATTAAACAAGCATACAGTTTTCTCGTACTTAATATGTCCTCTGTAATTTTACAACTCTGACCTTTCTTTACAAGTTTTTGACAAACTGTCTCATCATCTATCCTGTTTATCTCCTGAAAGATAACGGACTTAAATCCACTCTCTAATTAATTGTCAGATCCCCCACAAGTGCTCAAGAGTGTTAAGGTTGGGTGAAACACTTGTCCACAAAAGCTTTTACACTTTGGGAGAATCTATATACTGTAGTCATTGTGATGAAAAAGCACCCAACAATGCAGGGAATGAGGAGAGGATAGCATCTTCTGTTTCAGGTTTTTGTATTACATCACACAGTGGTGTGTGACTTGATGACAGCATTGATTAAGCATCACTCCCTCACACTTCAGCACTCATTCATCCCTATATGAGAGCTTTACTACCACTGAACTTCACTGAGGGAACCAGTCGCTTCTCCTCCTCTAGCAGCGCCATAGCATTTCAGATTCTGCTAGATCCAAAATGAATGGTTTGGTCTCATGAGACAAGAGTATGGATTCCCAGCAGTCTATGTTTTGTAAATATGGGCCTTTGAAAAGAATAAATGAGTTTACTGTGCTTTTGTTAAAACATTTTGCTAGTCAATATTTACTTACTATAAACAAAGACACTTATGAAGACCTTAATGTTTATTGTGACATATTGTAATGTTTATCTCTTTAAAAAAATATGCCCCATATTTTATGTTATGTAGGCTACAAACAAAACAAAATAGTAACCCACAATAACTTCTCCATGCAGTAAAAGTATGGGTTCAGCCTGTGTGTCAAGCAAAAATACTATTGAAAATAATTTTTTTCAGTCAGTAAAAGTATGGGTTCAGCCTGTGTGTCAAGCAAAAATACTATTGAAAATAATTTTTTTCAGTCAGTAAAAGTATGGGTTCAGCCTGTGTGTCAAGCAAAAATACTATTGAAAATAGTTTTTTAAATTTATTTATGCATGAGCAGTGTTATTTGCTTAAGTGTTATTTGCTAAAAATGCACTTTAAATAAATGATACAGTTTATTGATGTTTCTTTTTCTTTTTTTTTTTTATTTTTTCAGTAGCCTACAGAAGCCAGGTAGGGATTACTTTTATGCCGCTTTTGATTTTTGAGCTTCCATTTGGGTCTTCAGTCACTTTCATTGTATGGATCTACAGAGATGAGATTTGTATTTTTCTTCGTTTGATGTTCTGCAAAAGAAAGAAAGTCATACATTTGGGATGGCATAAGAATGACTAAATGACGTGAGTTATTAAACTAATATTTTTCTGCATGGAAATGTATGTAAGGAAACTTACATAAAAAATAAAATAAATAAGAAATAAGAAAAAAATTATTTAAAATAAGAAATAAAAAAGTCTGTAAATACAAAAAAAAATAATAGTTTGTTTGTTAAATAACCCAATTCCCCATGCGCTCCACATCTAAATCAATATTCGCACACACAGACACACACACACACATACAGGTTTGTTTTTATGGTTTATGGGGACTCTCCATAGGCGTAATGGTTTTTATACCGTACAAACCGTATTTTCTATTGCCCTACACCAACCCTACCCCTAAACCTACCCCTTACAGGAAACTTTCTGCATTTTTAGATTTTCAAAAAAACTCATTCTGAATTATTTATAAGCCTTTTGAATTACGGGGACACTGAAAATGTCCTCGCACACACACACACACACACACACTACATTAAGGTGTGCGTTCTAAGATAATATTCTTTGGTATGTATGTAGAGCCTGCATCATTAGAGCGCCACCGGGCTGAATTACGCAGGGACACTAGACCTCTGCCCCAGTGTGTTCAGTCATCTGAATGTAAAACATAGGTTAGTCATATAGCCTACGATGCGACCCAGAATCTGTCCCACCTAAATTCAGGATACTGGTTACTGGGTAGACTTTTGCTTTCCAAGAGCTTTTTGGGGGTTTACAATTTAGCCCCAGTCTTATCTATACAGAAATATAAATGTATCAATATCTGACTGAAATATTTCTCTTCACAGAGAGATTGGTCATGGCTTCAGCCGAAAGTATAAGAATAGCTGGTAGGAGTGGTCTGAAGAAAACTGGATCATTTACTTAAAGGCGACTGTAAGTTTACTTTAGTCCTTACATTAGCTGCATTACATTCAGTGCAGTGATGCGCCCAGAACACACACGCACACGCAACGTTTTCATTGATATATTTTAAGTGAATGTCTTCCATCGGTGCTTTCTGAGTTTAAAGTGAGACACACACTGAGCTGAAGGTTCAGCTGCCTGCTTCTCTCTCAGCAGAAGTGTTGAGCGCGGACCGTGGATGAGTTGCAGCGGCACAGACCGCGAGCTGCGGACCGCAGACTCCGGAACTCCCGCGGAGAAGGTAAACCGCATTCACTCCGAATCACATTAGTGAAAGTAGGGAAGCGACTGCCTCTCAAGTGAGTCAAGACATTGATCTTTATGCTCTCATTCCAGAAGGATTATTATTTTCTTTTAACGGAGAAGACGTAGCAACATATAGCCTATGTATCCTATTCAGACTGTCTTTATTTAAACGTTGCTGTGTGTCCACAGTAGGCTACCCACAGCTCTGATCACTAAAATACCTATTGTACATTTGAAAGCAATGGCTAATTTGATGATATATGTAACGCTATTATATATATATATATATATATATATATAAACGCCTAATTACATCTTTTCCCACTATGATTAATATACTTTTAAGTTTAATTAAATGTTGCTAGTTATATGATTAGACCTGTTACTCATTAAAAATAAATAAATAAATAAATAAATAAAAGTCAGTGGACACAGTGAAAACTGAATTACAGATATGTAGGCCTGAAATTTTCACTAGTCAAACTAATCAGGTCTATAACATGAATTATTAGTAGTAAGCTAGTAGGCCTAGTAGTAACGCTGGGAGCAGTAAATGCTAAATTAACTTCCCAGACCCTATTTATACTTTAGGGCAAAACCATTTGGGATCGAATCACGTTTGTTCTGGGAAAACTAAAGAAAATATATGAAAGGGGAATCACAAAACTATGCAAACGGACACATTTACACTTTTGATTTCCTAAACATTTGGTAGAAGAGTGGATATATGAGAGGGGTGGCAAAAGGATTGCTGGATGATTCTCTCAGTTTATAGAATAATGTGTTTTGGTAAAAAAAAAAATCTTAAGAAATTTTACTTAATGATCAGTGATACAGTTCATGGAAAGATTGCAAATTTGAAATGTTTTAAATACTTAATACACACCAAGACATATATGTCATTATTATCTGTAAAATAAGCCAATTAGCCAAACCCTTGGTAAAATTCATCAAGCATATAACATTCTAGTACTTAATATGTCGTCTGTAACTTTAATAAATATATTACTTGTAACAGTTTAGATTATGGATCACTGTTCACTATCTAATTGCTTATTAGCATGCATATTACTATCCCTGATCTTTAATGTGGTGGAGTGTTGCTCAAATTGTCTCTACAAAATCCCCCATAGGTGCTCAAGAGTGTTAGGGTTGGGTGAAACACTTGTCCACAAAAGCTTTTACACTTTAGGAGAATGTATATAGCCATTGTCATGTTGAAAAAAACAAAACAATGCAGGGAATGTGGAGAGAGTAGCATCTTCTGTTTCAGGGTTTTCTGTTTCATCACACAGTGGTGTGTGAATTGATGACATCATTGATAAAGCACAACTCCCTCACACTTCAGCACTCATACATGCCACCTTTATTTACCTTTATTTATAAAGCGCTTTTAACAATACAGATTGAGTCAAAGCAGCTTTACAGTATTAAATAGGAAAACATTGTGTGTAATAATACAAAAGGACAACAGTAAACACTCAGGCCACGTTCACACAGCAGCAGAATACGGTTGTCAGTCCTGTATTTGAGTCCTTAATACGGCTACGTTCACACACAGTATGGTTATTTACAGGTGTGACAACCTCATTCTGTAACTGAACTCACACCTGTAAATTTTCAGGACTCACAACCGCATTCTCGGAAAACACGCGCTGTGTGAATGGAACAGGACTGGACAACTGGTTGTCTGTCACGTCATACGGTGAGTGTGATTTGACCAAGTACAACATGTTCCTGGATCAACATCCTTGTTGATCCTGGAACATCATTCCAATCAACCAATCAGAATTGAGAGATAACTTTTCAGGAAATGTCAGTTTTAGGCTTACAATCAGGATTAGGTGCTTCTACACCCTTGTTAATCAGCTATCATTTCCCTCTGATTTTAGGAATAAATTATGGGTAAGGCTGGGTAGTGTTAGGGTTGGGTGAAACACTTGTCCACAAAAGCTTTTACACTTTAGGAGAATGTATATAGCCATTGTCATGTTGAAAAAAACAAAACAATGCAGGGAATGTGGAGAGAGTAGCATCTTCTGTTTCAGGGTTTTCTGTTTCATCACACAGTGGTGTGTGAATTGATGACATCATTGATAAAGCACAACTCCCTCACACTTCAGCACTCATACATGCCACCTTTATTTACCTTTATTTATAAAGCGCTTTTAACAATACAGATTGAGTCAAAGCAGCTTTACAGTATTAAATAGGAAAACATTGTGTGTAATAATACAAAAGGACAACAGTAAACACTCAGGCCACGTTCACACAGCAGCAGAATACGGTTGTCAGTCCTGTATTTGAGTCCTTAATACGGCTACGTTCACACACAGTATGGTTATTTACAGGTGTGACAACCTCATTCTGTAACTGAACTCACACCTGTAAATTTTCAGGACTCACAACCGCATTCTCGGAAAACACGCGCTGTGTGAATGGAACAGGACTGGACAACTGGTTGTCTGTCACGTCATACGGTGAGTGTGATTTGACCAAGTACAACATGTTCCTGGATCAACATCCTTGTTGATCCTGGAACATCATTCCAATCAACCAATCAGAATTGAGAGATAACTTTTCAGGAAATGTCAGTTTTAGGCTTACAATCAGGATTAGGTGCTTCTACACCCTTGTTAATCAGCTATCATTTCCCTCTGATTTTAGGAATAAATTATGGGTAAGGTTAGGTTTAGGGTTGATGTTGATCCAGGAACATGTCTTACTTGGCAAAATCACGGCGACCCACATCATACAGTGCGAGAGAGAGCCTACCGTGTGTTACATGTTTTCATGTGTGGTTTCGGTAATTTACAGTGATGAAGAAATGAGCTGCGTGTCATCTGAAAGTTTTAGATCCAGATGGTTTTCACCAGAGCCGCTCCCGTCAGTTTTGTGTTCTGCGAGCTGATACTGATTACTGATAAGGAATACGGGCTTGACTCCCATTGCACGTTCATACAGACAGTATTTGAGACGCTACTGCAAGCTGCTGTGTGAACGGGACATTATGAGACTCACACCTGTAAGTAAATGCGGTTGTCAATCCCAAAAACTGACAGTGTGAATGTAGGCTCAGGAACATGTCTTACTTGGCAAAATCACGGCGACCCACATCATACAGTGCGAGAGAGAGCCTACCGTGTGTTACATGTTTTCATGTGTGGTTTCGGTAATTTACAGTGATGAAGAAATGAGCTGCGTGTCATCTGAAAGTTTTAGATCCAGATGGTTTTCACCAGAGCCGCTCCCGTCAGTTTTGTGTTCTGCGAGCTGATACTGATTACTGATAAGGAATACGGGCTTGACTCCCATTGCACGTTCATACAGACAGTATTTGAGACGCTACTGCAAGCTGCTGTGTGAACGGGACATTATGAGACTCACACCTGTAAGTAAATGCGGTTGTCAATCCCAAAAACTGACAGTGTGAATGTAGCCTCAGTTTCAGTTAAAGTCAGTTCATCATTGAATTCAGTGATGTCATCATCCAGCTCAGTTCAGTTCAAATAGTATCTGTGCAATCAAGTTGACGATATATCGCTGGAAATTAAGTGTCCCCAACTAAGCAAGCCAGAAGCGACAGCGGCAAGGAACCAAAACTCCATCGGTGACAGAAATGGAGAAAAAACATTGGGAGAAACCAGGCTCAATCAGGGGGCCAGTTCTCCTCTGGCCAGACCAAACCAGCATGGCGTGGTTTAATTCCAGGCTGCAGCAAAATCAGATTGTGCAGAGGACTCACCTGGTTCCTGTGGTCTCATTCCTATATGAGAGCTTTACTACCACTGAACTTCACTGTGGGAAGCAGGCACTTCTCACCGTACTCCTCCTCTAGCAACATCTGTTAGATCTGAAATGAAGGATTTGATCTCATGAGACCAGAGTATGGATTCCCAGCAGTCTATATTTTGTAAATATGGGCCTTGAAAAAGAATGAACAAGTTTCTTATGCTTTTGCCACAGAAAGTAGTTTCGGTGTGGACAACAACCATGTATGTCACTTCTGTAGGCTCCATCTTACTCTGTGAGATAAACAACACAAAACAAACAAAAAAAAACCATCACAAAATGAAAGCTTAATAAGGTTAAGGCTTGATTATTTTAGGGTCCTTGCCACAAGTCCATTGTTTTTGAATTTTTGTGTTACTTGTACCATTGTCCTCTGTGCAAAGACATAAGTCTCCTGACAGTGCTCTCACAAGTGGTTCCTGCATTAAGTCTAAGAAAGATTCAATGGGCTATGTAACACATTTAATTATCAAGACATTACTTCTCTTTAAACGTATTGGTTTAATAATCCTATCTGTTGATCTTTCTCTCTCTCTTTCTAATATGTAGCTGCTGCGTCTGAAACGCTCGCTCACATTTATGCGGAGTAAAAGTGTGGACAACTTCTTCCAGCGTTCTCAGAGCGATGCTTACCCACCAACAGAGCTCTTCTCTGGTGCCCTGCCTTCTTCCCCGCGCCTGTTTACTGGGCCTGCACCTGGTAACAGCAGTGTTGTTTTGCCCTCCCCCAGCATCAGCTCTAGACCTGCTCCATTTGTTGTACAGCCGCGACCAGCACAAACACACTCCTTCCTCGAGCATGTGTTCCGTCGACCCACCAGCTGCAGTCTGTGTAAGCTCATTATTGCAGGTAAGCAGGGAATGAAAAGTCTTTCTATTTTTGTACTTCTGTCCTTGTTTTAGCAACTCTTGCCAGACTTGGCATTTCCTCCCTCCTTTCCTTTGCCTTCTCTATAAGATTCTCATTAAAATTAGCTTATGTTCATTTAGTAGAAGCTTTTATCCAAATCAGCTTAAAAATAAGAAATACTACAACGTAAGTGATTCATACCAAAGAAAGTAAAAGGAGAAGTGCCACAATTCAAAGTTCCAGAATTGCTCATAAAAAGTATGAGCTACAGTAGGACAGAATAAAGTAAGACAACATGAGACAGTAGTAGGAGTTTCAGTTTTAGTGAGGGACTATGATGTATTGAATAGCTGGACTGTTTGGAATGACTAGATTGAGTAGGTGGTTATCTGTCATCCTGGCTGAGATACCTTCCAGTAAAGATGAGTTCTGTGCAGTCATTGTGGGATAATTTTCACGCTGGAATGAGAAAGTAGAACTGTGTACCCTTTAGCATTGCAGGAATATCCATGTGCCTGTATGATAGGTCCCAGTAATATTGTTTATATCAAAAGAGAAATGGTCCAACACCTAATCCCTGAAGCACTTCCAGCATGGCCACTTATCCTCTCCAAGATATATTGAAGGATCTTACATCGAAGTAAATTTTATTCTCATTTCCATGATACCCAGTGTAGATCTGGGGATCTACTGGGGGCTCCAGACCGGTCTAATGCAATGAATGACCTGAGCAGTGAAAGGCCAAAGAGACCTGATTTAAAAACAACTTGTTCAAGTATTTTCACTGTGAACAAGAGGTAGTAGTAGTATAGGTAATATAAGGTTGAAAGTTTCAAACCTAAAAAAAAAAAAAAACATTTCTTCACACCAAGCTGCCAAAACAACTTTTTTTGTTTTTTTTATACTTCTTCCACATTGTGATATCACACTGTAGTAGACATTTTCACCTGACTATCTCTACCACAACACATCAACAGCTACTTACCATTTCCATTGCATGCCCAGCAGTTAGGTGACAAGAAGAATGATGCAATAACAAACAATTCTGAGGGTGGAAAATTATTTGCAAATGCAAACTTTACTAACATTATGACTGAACCTCAAGGAACATATTAAAACAATAAAAAGATATGTAATAACCGTTTTAAATTCTAAAGCACATGAGTCTCTTTCCCTTGTCTTTTTAGGCAACTCTAAACAGGGACTGCGCTGTAGAACATGTAAGATGGGAGCTCATCTTTGGTGTGTCTCTGAATTCACAGAGAAACCATGCCAAGGAAAGGTACGTTTGATTTGTGCTAGTTCATATCTGCAGTAAAGTTTCCCTTTTCTACTGCGCTATTGTCAGTTGTTTGGTACTACAAATAACTAGCAAATAAATAAATAGAATTTGCTTGGTTGGTCCTGGCTTGTGACAGAGAACCCAGGGAGCACAGAGATGGCACTGCTGGCCGGCCATGACAGGGTGAGAAGATGGCTAAGGCGACTCCAGGGCCATGACCACTGAACTCCATAGAATGAAATCTGGCTGGCATAGCTCACAGTAGTGTGACAGTCTTCCTTATGGATTTGTCTAGCCCCAGCCAAAACATAAGTTTGAGCTCGTTCAGTCCAGTTGCAATAGTGGCCTTCAAAATTTAACACAGCAATCAATGATGGGCCTAAATCCCTGATGGAAGCTCCTGATTAAGTGCCATAATTCAAAGTTCCAGAATTGCTCATAAGTATGAGCTACAGTAGGACAGAGATTAAAGTAAGACACTATGAGACAATAGTAGGAGTTTCAGTTTTATAAGTCGGTACATTATTAGTTTTGTGCATTCACAGTCAGGCATTCATGGGAGACATGTTACTTGAAGATTGTGAGGGACTCAGTTCAGGGATGGATTTGTTGACATAGACTCAGTGACAAGGGAGAGTAGTATCAAAACAGTAATTTTATTTAAGATAAAAACAACAGTACAAGAAACAAACCCAGGAAACAATGAAGAAAACTTAATTGAAAAGAGTAAACCAATAAAACCATCACAAACACAGGAAACAGCAGGGATTATATATACTTATATACAGGCAAATCTTTATATCAGCCCATCCTGGTAAATCTATCAGTAATTGTGCACATATTTAATAATATTCAAATATTATTAGTAATAATATCATTAACTATTGAGATATTTAATAGCTGAAAATGTAAAACAGAGATTAATTCTTTCTCTTTTGTGTATTTCTCTTTCTTTCTTCAAGTCTGGCATGTTCAAGAGGAACTTAAGCACACCTGTACTGACCAATGGTCAGTTATATGCTGTGAAGACACAGGGTATGTGTGTACGAGTGAAAACCTTATTTAATGTGTAAAATAATGAATTTGAAAAGTAGAATCAAAACATGAATAATGAAAAGTAGAATCAATTCTACTTAGCATCAAGGGTTAGATTGGGATTTAGGTGGGGGTGTGGGAGATGTTTTAGATGTTAAGCTAAAATTAAGGGAGAATTTTTTTAGTCTACTTTTATGTGCTTCAGAGATATATCAGAGATATATAAGTAACAAAGTTGTATTTAAATGGCTATATTATACTTGGCTTATACTGACAAGTATACAAAAAAGTCTAAGTGTTTTTGGGGCAGGTGATTATAAGTTATCTGTTTCCAGTTATTTTAGCTGTGCAAAAACAGTCCATCATGCTGCTGGTATTTGTTTTGATATTATTTTTTATATATTATTGTAATCATAATCACACTGGTTTGCAGCTCAAATGTTTTTTCCATTAACCACACTTTGTTATTCTTATAGTTATGAGAATAACATAACTGTAAGAATGTTACTAAACTATTCATGCTGCTGGTATTTGTTTTGATATAATTTTTTATATATTATTGTAATCATAATCACACTGGTTTGCAGCTCAAATGTTTTTTCCATTTACCACACTTTGTTATTCTTATAGTTATGAGAATAACATAACTGTAAGAATGTTACTCACCTATGGTGACTAATAAATTGAAAATCTTACAGAAAATAGCTTCTGCGTTGCAAAATAAGGTGGGTACTTAATATTTTAATTGGGATATACTAAAGAAAAATATTATTAAGTATTCTATTATTTTTTGATAGAGTAGCCAGTTAAATTTAATTTTTTAACACATCTTAGTATGCTTTACATCTTGTGAATTATACATCAGATTTGGCGTGTAGTGAATACAGGCGTTGGACAAAATAATTTCAACACTATATTATAGGGATTAATATAATTTGTGAAAGCTACAGTGTGTCAGTCCTGTGTCTTGTGTTTTGCTCCCCATGTGCTCTATGTCCTAGTTTTCCCCTATGTTTATGCCCTTATTTGGTCTTCCTGTTCCTTTCCAATTTGATTCCAGGTGTGTCTCGTCTTCCCCTGATTAAGTTGTATATAAAGTGTGTTCTGCCCATTGTTTCCTGTCCGGTATTGAATGTCGTCTTTCCCCGCTACGTATGATTTCCTGGTTCCTTGGATATTATTATAGTCTGTTTGTTAAGTTTTCTCCACATCTCATTGTTCCTCGCTCCGTGCTCCTCACAGTAGCGGAGCGTGACAGAATACCAGACCATAAACAGTAAGCGGCGTCCCTACTCTCCGTTTTTTTGTTTTTGGTTTTGAAAGTGTTTTCTTTTGATTTTCCCCCCATGGATCCTGTAGAACCCTTATGCTCTATTTACCAAGATGGCCGTCCCCTGGAGGAATATGTCTCTGAATTCCTCACCTGCTCTCAGCAGGCTTCCATCGACCCGTGGACACTTATGGACTGTTTCTGGGGTGGTCTGGATGAGGGGATCGCACAGTGGATGCCACTGGCTGGGTCCAGGTGGACCGCCAGCCCAGAAGCATCACCCATTAGTCCCATCCATCCATCATCAAGCCTGCCAGCCGCTCCGAAGTCATGCCCCCTGGCCGCTCCAAAGTCAAGCCCGCCGGCCGCGGCATTCTCAAGCCCGCCGGCCGCGCCGACGTCAAGCCCACCAACCGCACCGTTCACCCTTAACCAAAGGAGGAGGATGAGGAGGAAAAGACTGTTCTCAACCTTTACATCTTGTGAATTATACATCAGATTTGGCGTGTAGTGAATACAGGCGTTGGACAAAATAATTTCAACACTATATTATAGGGATTAATATAATTTGTGAAAGCTACAGTGTGTCAGTCCTGTGTCTTGTGTTTTGCTCCCCATGTGCTCTATGTCCTAGTTTTCCCCTATGTTTATGCCCTTATTTGGTCTTCCTGTTCCTTTCCAATTTGATTCCAGGTGTGTCTCGTCTTCCCCTGATTAAGTTGTATATAAAGTGTGTTCTGCCCATTGTTTCCTGTCCGGTATTGAATGTCGTCTTTCCCCGCTACGTATGATTTCCTGGTTCCTTGGATATTATTATAGTCTGTTTGTTAAGTTTTCTCCACATCTCATTGTTCCTCGCTCCGTGCTCCTCACAGTAGCGGAGCGTGACACAGTGAAAAAACAAATATTGCGATTACTGTATCTTTATTTATCTTTTTCTGAAGGTTTTATATTAGTGTATACAAGTTATGTCCTGCAGTGTTAAGTACAGTAATGAGTAAGTAATGAGTGACTCCCAAAAGGGCAAATCATGGGAGCATTTAACCTTAACAGACCAATTGTTTGGTGTTTTAAGAACAACAGTTTTTTTACGATACCATTGCACTGACATGCTATTGTGACTGAGCCATCATTTCTTGTGCAGAATTGCTTTTACCATAATGCCTCGTCACAGACATTAAGAAGGACTGTGTCCAAACAACACAGAACTACTGAAGCAAAGTTACGGCATCCATAAAAGAACTGCAATTGCTAAAACTTTACTCACAAACATCCAATGACAAAATGTGAAAAATATGGTGTCATGATTATAAAGCCTTAACAATTGAAACACCAAGATGAACGTCAACATCTGTCCTGGCCAAACAAATCATCTGACTTGAATATTATCAAACCACTGTGGGCAGGTTTAGAGAGAAGAGTAAGTTGGCAATTTCCTCTTTCAACATCTGTGAAGCAATTTGCAGATGTTCTGATAGAAGATATTCCATTGGAGACTATTCAAAAGTTGTATAAATCTATTCTAAGATTAGTAAAGCTGTATAAAAAGGATAGTTCACCCAAAAATGAAAATTCTGCCATCATTTACTTACCGTCAAGTTGTTCCAAACATATATGAGTTTCTTTCTTCTGTTGATCACAAAAGAAGATGTTTTGGTAACCAGGCATGTGACAGTAGCCATTGACTTTCATAGTATTCTTTCTTCTTTTTCCATAATATGTAAGTCAATGGTTACCGTCGACTGTTTGGTTGCAAACATTCTTCAAAATATCTTCTTTTCCTTTAAAGGCAAATGGTGGTGAAACAGCTTTTAATAATCTTAATAATGAAATATTGCCTGTTTTCCAGGTTTTCACATTATTTTGTCCAACCCCTTAGTACAGTGGAACTGAACATAATCTTTTGTACACAGCGCTTCTAACACACACAGAAGCAGATAATTTTATTGACATTTCTTCTTCTCACACTATGTGAGTATTGTAACATATTTCATTCACACTGGCTTCTATTATAAGCCATTACCAGAATAAATCATTTTAAATCTCAATACAAAGCATTAAGTCAAAAAGCAAAAAGAGCAAGTCTCTTTATGCAACACATAAAACAATGTCATAAATCATATATACATAGTGCATACCACTGCAAATCTACTTCATGTACAGTACAGTGAGATGTATTTCAAGTATAAAAAAATGAATACCTATAGGTACCTTACTCTATAGTAAATATGAGCATAGTATTCTGCACATAGTAAGTGGAGAAATAATATACATTGTAAACTATAAATATAATAAGTTCACTTAACTGACAAGTATAATTGCAATATAAAAACTATGAAATTACTTTACTGAGAGTATACACAGTATACTTCAAAAACTAAAAAGCGGGCTAGAAGTATAAATAGTACTCATTCATTATACCTGTAAGTTTACTTGTATTATATTTCACAGTATAGTTAACATACACAAAAAGTTAGATGCCAAGTTGTGTATGTAAAGTTTACAACTTTTACACTTAGGGCCAGATTTACTAAACAGGGCGAATTAGCATGAGAGCGCAATCCTATGAAAGCGCTGATGTGAGTGGAAGGTTCTGTGTGTGATCTACTGACATTGCGCACATTATCTTTAACACAGATGCAGCCGGATCATTTCCATAATGACCAGCGCAATCTACCAACAGCAGCTCAACTTAGCATCTGGTTTAAGACATACTATTTTTAGGCGTTAAATAACCTCAATAAATCGCATTGCATAATTTATTTAAATACTCCCCAACCCCCACCCTGCCCATAAATTTTGCGTCTAAAAGGAAAACTCTTACAAATGCATAAGCAAATAGGGTCCCAAAAATAACTGTCCACACCTTTTCAATAATTTTCACTACTAAAAGCACTAGTTGATTTTAGCATACTTACTGCATGAAGTATACTTTGGAAGATGTACTTGAACTTACAGTGGTGGCCAAAATTGTTAGAACACCTGACATAATATTGACATAATATTGACAAAATATTGACCTTTTTGCCTTCCAAACGATTTCATTTCAAAATATTCATGAAACCTGTGGATGGCTGCTCTAAGCACAACAAATATCAGATGAAGTGAGTCATATTGCTTTTATCCGCTTTTAACTTTAATATTTGGTATGTCCACCTTTTGCAGCAGCACACCTAACTGGCATAGTGTCAATATATTTCCTGAGAACTTCAACACTAATGTTATCCCATGGCTTCTGCAACTCAAGCCAAAGGCTGTCCTTTGAATGTACAACAGATCTGTCCAGTTTATTTTCTAACTCGCCCCAAATTTGCTCGATGGGGTTGAGGTCCGGACTTTGAGGTGGCCAGTCCATCATTTTCAATGTTCCAGCAGATTCCTTCCATCGCAGGAAGTTCCAGCAATAGTTCGTTTTAAGGGCATTGTAATGGCCAATTCAGCAAAAACAACTGAAACTTCTTAAATATGCCAAATGTTCTAACAATTTTGCCCACCACTGTAAACTTAAAGTAAAACAATTTTAAGCATGAGTATGTGTACAGAGCTAATATTTTGGGCGTATGTGTTTGTGATATGATAGAGTCAAAAGCTCAGCTGGACCCTGTGTATGCTACACTCCGCTTTGGAACTTCTCTGGCCAACACCAGCCGATCTAGCTTTGGGAGCTTCTGTGAATCTCCGAGCCAAAGCCTGGTGTGTACCATATATACTACAAGCAGGTTTAGGTTTCATAGATGTTGTGGCTGGTTGAACATTTAGATTTACTAAAGGTGTATTGAACATAAACCTAGAAGTAATAACTGTTTTTTGATGACTAAATGTAAATTATGTTTTACAAGCATTTTTTTAGCCTCTAAACTTGCAAATTGCGTTCTAATTATTACTGTATTTTCTTTATCGTTGTTTAAAAGTGCATTTGTTAAAAATAGATTAGTTACTGAATGGAAGCTTATATTTTTAACATTTACTTCTTCATTAAACATTTTTGTTTGAAACTCTTTATGTGCCTTTGAGGATGAAGAGGATGGTCAGCAGAAGGATGAGTATGTGTCCACTGAGGGGGAGAAACTGACTGAAAACCAGAGGACAGGTAAAATAATCAAAGTTAATGTGTATGCATGGAGAGATATACAGTACATTGCAAAGTTACAGATCAGTGGTTCTCAACTGGTTCTGCTTTAGAACAGAGATTTTAAACTGAACATCAACTGATGACTCAATATTAAGTGCTGTATCAAGAGTGGTATTTCTTGTATACAGCAGTGCTATAAAGAAATTGGTTACACTTTATTTTACAGTATGTGCACTTACATGTACTTACAGTGTACCAACCTAAGAAAGTATTGGTAATATTATGTCACTTAAATTAGGTTTAGGGGTAGTTTCAAGGTTAGTACCTAGTTATTACCTAGTTATTGTAATTACTATAATAAGTATATAGTATGTACATGAGTAACAGGACTGTAAAATAAAGTGCTACCAAGAAATAAAAAAAATAAATAAAAAAGTGACGTGACGTGGCCAAGTATGGTGACCCATACTCGGAATTAGTGCTCTGCATTTATCCCATCCAAAGTACACACACACACACAGCCACAACTTCCCCATATTATATTTATATTGATGGCTGCATTATATTTGATAAAGTGGCCCGCATTTGATGCCACAACTGTGGCCCAGTCATCCTAATGCGTATCTGGGCCAGTTTTGGCAAAGATATGCACAGTGAGCACTGGCTAATGTGGCTGTGAGCCTAAAGTGAGCCTAAAGTGGCCCTTATATGATGCTGCAAATGTGGCCCGCATATAAAATGACAAATATTGCCCAAATAATTAATAACAATTTGGGCCACTTTTGGCAAATATACGGCACGGGGGTTACGAGTCCAACTCTCTAACCATTAGGCCACAACTTCCCCATATTATATTTATATTGATGGCTGCATTATATTTGATAAAGTGGCCCGCATTTGATGCCACAACTGTGGCCCAGTCATCCTAATGCGTATCTGGGCCAGTTTTGGCAAAGATATGCACAGTGAGCACTGGCTAATGTGGCTGTGAGCCTAAAGTGGCCCTTATATGATGCCGCAAATGTGGCCCGCATATAAAATGACAAATATTGCCCAAATAATTAATAACAATTTGGGCCACTTTTGGCAAATAAACACAGCCAGCATTGGCTAATCAGTGTGTAAGCCAACTTGTCCCACATTTGACATGGCAAATATGCCCCCATATATTATAAAACAGACGAGGACCACTTCTGGTTGTAACACTTGACAAGTGAGGCCACTTCTTGGATGTAACACTTGACACTGGCTAATTGAAATGGAATCTTGAAATTGTAAATATGGCCTAATAGAATTTGGCCACTTTTAGTAGGATGCAACACAGTTAACTGATGCAGGGTGATCTGGATGTGAGTCTTAAGAAGGCTACATACGCAGCAT